TAGGGGGGGGGGGACTCGGATTTGGAGGAGGATCAATAGTTTTTTTCGAGAATTGAGAGATTTTTGTGAGGATAGTAAAGGTTTTGAGGAAAAGGTTCCCGATTTTTTATTCCAAATGAACAATTTTCACCCCATGAATCGAGAAAATGATGCATTTGAATAGAATAAAACTGTGTTTAAATTTTTTCAATTCATTTTTTTTTCAGGGGAAAATTTTGCAATCTTAATTTCAATTTTATTACGAGTGTATAAGAGTCGATGCGTGCATTGAGAAGACTTTCTAGGGGAGTGATTAAGGATAACCGGGTGAAGAGTAGGATATTTAAAAAATGCAGCCAATTTTATAAAGATTTTTTCGCACATTATTACATCCATTTAGACACTGTTTGCCAAATTTGAGAATCCCCAGAAGCAGGGCAACAACAAAAATGATTTTTAAAGTTGCTGCTTATACATGATGTTAAATGGGTCATTGATAATGTCAGTATCTTTTCCACATTGCCGACTGGTCGATAATGTAGAGGAAATGCACGAGTTATCGATGCTTCCTTTAACCTCATGTATACGCAGCAATTTTAAAAATAATTTTTTTTTGTCTTGCTTCTGGGGTTTCTCAAATTTTGCAACCGGTGTCTAAATGGATTCAATAATGTGTGAAAAAATCTTCACAAAATTGGCTGCATTTTTTAAATATCCTACTCCTTACCCGATTATCCTTAAATACGAGAAGATTTGGGTGATCCGCGTGCGTAAAATCTCACTTTCCATACATCGTCATGAAAAATGGGATTCGATACTCGCGGAAAAAGTGTTTTTTGACCGTTGGAAGTTGTGTGTAAGTATTTTTTGACACAACTCCTACGGGTCAAAGTATTATATTTCTAAACTAGGAAGGTAAAATAAAGGACTTGTGCCCATGTGCGGAATTACGACCCGAGGCAAAGGCGAGGGTGGAAAGCATGTTGGTAAGGCTCCTTTATTTTACTTCCCCCGGTCTAGGCGCAAAGTAAAAGTTCCCTCCCGCTTTGTGGGAGGAAAATGTCACTTTGCGCCCACCGCGTCAAAAAAACATTTTTACGCACTCGCATCAAAATATATTATTTTTGAACAATTTTCATTACTTGGACGGGAGAAATGACGCATTTCAGTCCAATAAAACTCTTTATTTAAATTTGTTCATTTTTTTGGACAATATTTATGTGCAAATTAATAAACTTATATATTTTCATCGAAATTTGACGCATGCAATTTTCTTTTATTTTATCTTTTTTGTGGTCTTTACGAAATCGTAAAAGGTTCGAGAATATCCCGAATTTAATCATGCGCAGTAATTTCACCATTGATGACATTTGCTGGCATTTTCAACGTATACAGTAATTTGTCATGAATTTCCAATGATTTACGTGAGATGTCATTCTGTAATTAGACATTCATCTTGTACCCTGAAATTAATTTCCCACAAAAAGAACTCAGAAAAATTTAACCGGAAACTTGATTTATTCATTATTAGGTATATTTCCTAACTTTTTTATTCTTCTGTTCAAGTTTTTATGTTAAATGGTGTCTAATTTCGCAATGAAACTTTTCAAATTATTTTTTTATAATAATAAATGATTGGAAAATCATCGTTTTGGAGAGCTTAAATGATCGTGAATAACAATATTTAATACAATTTCGTAGCTAAATGAGGAGAAGAATGACTGATCGCCACCGATGATCAATCTCCCTTTTTTGTTCACTTCGAAGCGAAAAGATGAAATGGTGAAATTCTTTCCGTATTGAGTTCCGCGAAGCCTAAACAACTCATCAAAATAATGTCTTCATAACCGAAATTGTCTGAAATTTTCCAGCATCTCTCATCGATTTGAATTTTCCAATCAACTTGGTTAGAATAAAGAGACCCCCTGACTTCTCCCCTGAAACATTCATCTCCAGGATTCTCCCCTTTAAGCAATATCGCCTACCATCCTCATGATCGATAAATTCGCATCGCAGATACATGTGGACAAGTTAGTTTGGGTAGTTTCCTAGCGTGTCATCGACAATAATTTACAGGGCACGCTCTCACGGATGGGAGAAGTATCACCGGGGGGTGCCCCTTTGTTCGGATACTCATGGCCTCTAGTTGACGAAATATTGACATCCGAGAATAGAAACCCTTCGGTGTACGTGTGGTAGTGCGACGCGACGACGCCGGAGAGACGAACTGTCGGGGTGCGGAGGTGGGGTGGAGAGAAAGGAAGGAATAAAAAAACACAAGAGAGTCTGTGGGACTTGGTTGGGGTTGTCTGATAGGGGGGTGATGGAGGGAAGGTTAGGCTAGTGTATTCAGAATGAATTTTAACTGGGGGG